CTGCCGACAAAGGGCTTTGATGTCGGCAGGGGAGCGTCCAGACTAGCGTGCCGGGCAGACAAACAGCTGATCAGCTGTTTGTCGGCTCAGCGCAGCAGCCATGTAAATGTAAATGAAGCCGCGATCATTTAAATCGCAGCTTCATTTGCCTTTGCCAAAACAACAAATCTACATGGCTCCGTCGACGGAGCTGTATGAACTTGCCATACACTAACTGCTCATATGGTCCCTGCTGCTAAAAGTTCCTAATGTGCTTTAATCTATCCAGAAGCACACAAGGGTACTCATAAGTGCATGGAACCAAGGTCCACATGGACTCTTAGTGCAGATAGATTTATATCCTGGCTTGCTGAGAACTAACCGTTCATATAAACAAACCTATACTCTGCTCACTTGTGCCTATCAGCTGTGTACACCTATCTGAGTTGAAAGTAAAAGAACTCATGGTGCCATTGTGACACCGTTAATGAACAGATGGCCAAACATTCATAGGCCAGATTGCACATACTGTTCATCACTCCCCTCCATTCAGTTCCAAGCTGCTTGTGCTGTGTACTTGCAGAAGTACCTAGTAAGCTGTACAAACGATCATGCACCTAGCAGGAATTTGCAGAAACAGCAACACTGATGTTCTCAGTCTTAACTACTCCTTACATGAAGTGATCAGTCAAAGAAGCATAAGGCATCTTACCAATGGGATTTGTGGAAGTTTCTTGACCCTTCTGATACATGCGATAGTGACGTGTCACTGTGCCATGAGCAGCTTCAGCTTCCACGGTCTTGCCATCTGGGCAGATCAGTACACTGGTCATCATCCCCAGAGAGCCATACCCTGCAAGTTAAAATCAAATGGATCAAGTCTTCCTCTGAAAACCCTGACTCTGCTAAAGCGGCACCATTTTGCCAAGCCACAAAGGAAGCCAAATACACAAGAATATTCTGTGTAACAGTCATACATTAAACCCACTTGTTCAGTTCTGACTTAGGAAGCTGCTCTTAAGACTCTGAACAATAGAAGTTATTCACCAAGGCCATAGAAAGCTGCAGACATTTTGTCCCAATTCAAACAAATTCATATTCACCATAATCAGCCACTTTTTTTCTGTCAATGAGCTCATAGTCTGTGACCACCGTTTTTCTCCCACTAACTCCCAAAGCAAAATAAGAGTCACTCAAAATTGTAAGGCAGCACAGGAAAAACACGGCAAGGCTGTTTGAGACTGCATTTGATTTCACACCTTCTGATCCCAACAAGAGTAGTAATTCAATTTTCCTGAGGGAGACTCATATTTCCCCTAGGGAACAAAAGCAATGGGCCTTTAAAAAAAAACAAAAAACAAAAAAAAAAAAAACCCCAGCTAGCTGCAGTGGCAGGAACAGAATATTCACTGAAGAGGGGCATGCACAGAGATAGAAAGGGGAAATGAGGGAAGGCGCAGAGACTTGGCTGGGGAAGGGGGAAAGTGGGGATCCTACCTGCCCCCAGGCCCATTCCAGCCCCATCTGGGTCTCGCTTCCTGCAGTAGCTGCTTCAGCTCCGTCTCCCCGCTTGCTCCCTGCCCACTGCCTGCTTTGCAAAGGTTGCTCCAGCTCCAGTGTGGATTCTGCTCTAGCCTTCCCTTGTTGCAGTGTGCGCAAGTTTGAGTAGGACAAAGCCCTCCCAGTATTTCCACTGTGGCAGCCCTAGGTCCTCCAGGCCCCCTCCATGGCTCTACTGCCATGTTCATGAATACTGCTGTCAATCCTTATTCCCCACACCTATCCTGTCACTTCCATCTCCTTTCCTCGAGAGAAAAGGCTTTTGGGGTAGGAGGAGAAACATGCTTTTGTAGAGAGATTTAAATTTCTGGTCTATGCCACACCTGATCATCTCAGGTACTCTCAGCCAGGTCCTCCGCTGATACAAAGTGACATGCTCTAGAAATGTCAAAGCACTACACTCAGGTATACCAACTAAGGCCTGCCTCTCTGTGCCTAATAGACTAGGCTTTGAGCTTACATGCCGTCTCCTTGGGAGGATCACAAATTATTTCAGAAACATGGATAAGTTCCATCTTGCAACCTGTGTGTGGCAGGCAAATATTCTCCTCCTCCCCAATTTAGAGGAGACAGGCATAGAAAGATTGAAGGGCTTGCCTAATATCACATGGATCCAGTGGCTTTGATGCACCTATAGTCTCTTGACTTCCTATCATCTGCCACATGAATGGGTGGATTAATGCAGAGACAAACCAGGCACATCAGGGAAAGGGGCCAAAATCATAGGCGAGCATCCTCCTTCTCCAATGCTTTGCCCCACCAAGGGGGGCAACAGCAGCCTCTCACCGTGGCACCACAACTATCCCAGCCTGACATGGAGGGGACACCCCAGAGGCAGAGAAGAAATTGAAAAGTGAACTCTCTCTGCCGCAGAGGTTCTTGTCCCACAGGTCTAGTCATGGCTCCCGACCCCAGGCACTGCGGGATGCAACCTGGTACATGAGGTTACAGCACCAGTCAGGTTTGGCCCCGTTGCCCCTCCAGTGGGAGGAAAGAGGCTGGGCCAAACCTGACTGAAACCTCATGCACCAGATCACAATGCCAGGAGCAGGGCCTAGCCCAGTAAGACAGGAACTATCACTGTGGACAAGGTCTCCCCAACCCTCTCGCTCTCTGGAGCCTAGGGTGACCAGATAGCCAGAGTGACAAATCAGAATGGGTGGGGGGGGGGGGGGGAAGGTAATAGGTGCTTATACAAACCAAAACCCTGAATACTGTGACTCTCCCTATAAAATTGGGACATCTGGTCCCCTATCAGAGCCTCCCCCTGCACCGGGCCAAGAAAAATGTACGTTTGCTTAGGGTCAGGTGATGTATCATTTTTCCTTCTCCTATGTTCCTTCAGCATTTAGGGTCCAAACCTGCAAGGTCCCAACGGGTGGAACTCCCACACTTGAGCAGATGTTCAATGAGCCTTACAACTTAATGGATCAGGCCCATACCCTGGGTTGGAATGTTCCTTCCCACAAAAAGAGCCACAGGAGAGAGCCCCAGGGAACAGAAAAACAAACAAACGAACAAACACACAAAACCTGTTATCCCGGTGCCATCCCCTCTGGTGGGAAGAGCTTGTGAAACTGGGAGCTCATGTCACCTTCTCACTTTCCAGGTCTCTGAGATCTGGGTCACTGGAAGCTTCTTGGGGCAAGGAACAAGGATCCCTCTAAGTTTTGTGTGAGGCAAAGTTTGCTGACGGTGCTAAAGAAAGAACACTACTCAACTCATATTCTTCCTGCGAGTGCCAACCACATGCCAACAGGCCACACCTTTGCATAGGAGCTATTTTAATCATGTCAATATCGGTCTGTCTTTTGGCCTTTCAGTTACATTTTTATGTCATTAAAATATCATCTCTGCTCCTGGGGCACTTTCTCCAGGGGTTAAGTCATGCAAGCATTTTGGTGACCAAATCCCAGCTACAGGTGCATGCACTTTGGGTTTAAGCCATTGGAAGTTGTAGCACTGGAATAGCCATCACACAAAGAAGTCTCTATCAAACATACACCACCACTGAGATTCTCTTTTTAAAGCAGGGGATGGGGGGAACCTTGGCCCCCAGTTTGCTTGGATCTGGCCCCTAACACTCAGGGCTCCCCTCCCAGCATTGAGGAGCTGGTACTTTAGCCCCACAGAGCAGCAGCACTGGGTCCTGGCTGCCAGAGGAGAGGGGGATGGGTGAACAAAGCCCCAAGCCTCAGGGCCTGGCGTCAGGCAAGCCAGGGCCGGATCCAATCCATGGGCTCTGCCTGGCAGAGAGAGAAAGTGGCTCTGCTCCTTCCCCCACCCCCAGCTGGGGAAACAGCAGTGCATCAAAGTGCTGCCTGGAGGCTTCCCCCCCATCCCCTCTTGCGCCCCCCTCTGTCCCCTCTAATTAGCTGTAATCATGGCCACTAGGAGCACAGCAGGGGGCAATGCCTAGAAGCAGCAATGGAGGAGAGGGACAAAGCCATGTGAATCCCCAGGGAGCTGTAGCAGGCAAGGACCTCCCCCCTCACTGCCCAGACCCTGCACCACAAACCCACTTCCCAACTGTCCCCTTTGACATACTGAACCCTTCATTTTGGTCATCCCAGAGCCCAGGGAGGTCCACAAAATCTACTAACCCAGCTCCCCACAAGGCTTTGGTGTGTGAGGGGAACGTAGGGAGTGTCTTTCTGCTTCTCAGGGTTTATGTTTCTTCTCACTTTTGTACAGCCCCAACCCAAGAAAGGTTCCCCACTCTAGTTTTAAAGCAAGGTTTTGCACCTCAGACTTAGGTTTCCTGAGTCTATGAACTGCAAACAGTTCTGAGATTAAGTAGTGGTTCTTGCATAAACATATGCATGGATACATAGCATGATATACACAGCAGTGTGAGGCTGGTGGCCATACTAATACTTAGAACTCTACCGATTTCATAGCCATGAAAAATGCAAACTGGATCGTGAAATAAGCCCTTCCCTGTGAAATATGATGTCTCCTTACTCCTAGGATCACCCCATCAGAGCGGGCGTCCTAGCTCCAATTTGGCAGGGGAAGGGCAGGACTTGTCCCTCCTCTGCAAACTGTTCTGGCAGTGGGAACGGGGGACCAGACTCACTTCTGGGTACACCTCTCCCCACTGGAAGATGTTGTCTGGGCACTGGACAGCAGCCTGAGGTTCCTGCAGCTGAATATGGAGCACATTCTGTAGTTGTGCAGAGAGAGCAAGTATTGTCCCTCGTAAGCTGGCCAGGACTAGCAGCAGGGATCCCAAGGCTGGAGTGCTCCCCACAGCACAAGGGAGATCAGACCCACTTCTATCTTTTGTGGCTGCAGGAAGCTCTGCAGTTGCTGCCCTCATAGCGCAGCTCAGAAGGCAGCACAGAAGTGAAAGTGGCAATCCCATGGCTTTCCTATAGCAGGGTTGTGATATTTTTGAGTCAGCAGGGACCTCAGTTAGAAAACTGAAAATGCAAAAATTACCAATTGTCAAATCCTATGGGTGTGAAATGGGTAAGGCTGTATCGCTGCTTATCTCAACAACATGCTGCAATACGAACAGGTCATACCTTGTGCAACAGAGTCAGACTGCACATCTCCATCATAATTCTTACAGGCCCAGATAAAGCCACCTTCGGACTTCAGGGCTTGAGCCACCATGTCATCAATGAGTCTATGCTCATACCAGATCTTCAGGGCTTCAAACTGGGACCTGTATTCCCTTGAACAGAAGAAAATCACCTTGTAGCTTCTGGCAATTACAATTCCAACCAGTGGAACATGCAAGCAAAAGGCTGAAATCCTCACGTTGCATGAGGAAATGGGAAAGGAAAGGGCCTGTGGGCTTGGTTGAAGATGTTTATGAGCCTTGAACAGCTCTGAAGAGACAGTATGTACACGATACAGCATTTTGCTCCTAGATTTTATAGGTTTTTATGAAGCAAGCATATAAAGATGGAATGTGACCAGTCATAGTAGTGGAAAAAAAGACTAACCAGTGGCTGAACTCCTGAAATGTGTGACAAAGAGCAAACATAAAGGAAATGATGTATAAGAATTCATTAAGAATCAGTAGGCCCAGTGATGCTCTCTCTTACACCAAGTGAAATCAACAGCAACTCAGCTGCAGTGAAGGAGATTAGAATGAGAAGAGAATATGGCTTCATGCTTCAGAAACCAATTTAAGGTAAATTTTGCATGATTTTATTTCTGGGGTCAAATGGAGTCTAACAATCAAGGACTGCCATTGTTAATTAGGAGAGCTGTGGAGCAAGATAATTTTTGTAAGAAAGGCCTAGCAACAATTTACCAAAAATCTAGACACATTTCCTTTTTATATCGCAAGCCATTTTAAGAGTACACAGGAGTACATTTTAAAGACGAATGTACTTACAAAGCTACTAAAAATTAGTGAGGTTCAAATTAGGGATGTAAAATCCTGTTTAATCAGATAAACAGTCCCTCCTCCCCCTCAACATGGTACAGCAAGCTAGTCCAACCCAGCCAGACCCGCCCACTGCATGGAAGCCCCCGCCTGTTCCAGCTCTGCTAGACAGCCAGTTAACTATAACTAGTATCACCAGTGAGGGTGATGCTTACTGATTAACAATTCACATCCCTTGTTCAAATTCTAGAACAAATACCCAGAGATTTTCTATGACTCCATCCAAATCTCCAGAGCTTTGTTTTTATCATCATCATTAGTGTCCATCTGCACTGGCATCTAAGGCACATGCTTGGTGCTCCCTCCCAACTTCAATAAAAGTGGTGAGCACTAAGCACTTCCCAGGAGGTGCTGGGCACGTCTCAGGTTTAGGCTCTGAATGAATGGAGGGGTTCACAAAGAATAAGAGAACAATTTTTCTACTACAGAAAAAGAGCTCTGGAAGAGAAAAACTGGTAGTAAAAATCTTTACTAGTTACTTTTCATAGATTTCTTGAAAGATGTCTTTAAAGCGTCCATCATATCTCTTCAGAATAGTGTTCTTGGTGCTCATGTACAGGGGCCAGCCCTTAGATAATGCCATCTGGAAGGAACTATGTGCAAAATCCCTGATGGACTGATCAAGGTTATACATTCCCATTGCTACACCACCACAGCCTATCAGCAAAGGGAGAAAAGAGAACAGTAAATAAGAATTAACTACAACACTGACTAAAAATCCCATCCCATTTCTACCAGAATGATTAGACTTCCCAGCCAGCAGTCTGGAATCCTCGGCAGGCTGCCTTTCCTGATACAGTTCTAGAGACTGTGATGTATACCAGGATGGAATCAGTTACAAATAGAACTCTTCCTCCCACATGGGCATTGTTTGTCTAATTCACTCAGCACAATGAGGATTGCATCTAGGGATGTTTGCTCGTGCATTGTTATGCTTAAGCAAGTTTTTACATGGCTAGTAGTTCTTCAGCTACGGTCCAGATCTTCTCATAGAAAAAAAAACAACATGGAAAAGGAAACTGCTGTGGGAGATCCCTATCTCATTGAGGTAGAAGTTGTCTGCCAGGCTTAAGCACTGGCAGCATGGGTAAAGGCTGTGGGACCTGCTCCATCCATACTTGGTGGGCCCCAGGAATCCACAGTCATCTGTGGAGGCCCTACATCTCTCCACTGGCTCAGGTCTCAGTGCAGCCTTTCCTGACACAAGTTTATTGTGAATAGACTGCCTGGTATACTCTCTCTGGTTACTAGAACCTCTCAAGGACTATATAGTAGAGACAACATAGCCTTGAAAAGTATTCTGATTAGATTGTGCATGGCCTTGTGCTTGTCTGAGGAGAAAAACAGGAAACTTGTTCATATCCTCTACTCCACTGCCTACAATCCTTTCCTCAGTATGGATCTTGGGAGGACAAAGCCAGTCAGCCAAGGAAATACAATAGCCCCAAACTCCTCCTGTCATCTCTTCTGGCCTGAATAATAGAAGGATTGGCTTCACAGCAGCACTCATGCTAAATTGGGATTTCCTCTCTAAGCAGGTATTGGGGTTTTGACAGAATCTGCCAATTAGTCCAAGATATGGTGGTGAGTTTGCAACATGAGAATTTCTCTCCCTGTTATCAGTGAAGAGCTACCAATGGTACAAGTATCACACAAGGCACATGAGAAATAGTAAATCTATTGCGTGGGTTTTGTATTTGCTTCTTTGGTTTATGATTTTCAACACAAGAGAATTAACTTTCAGTGTTAGAAAAGTCTCCTTCCTCCCATACAAATGAAGTAGGCCTATAAAAGAACAGATGGGTGTACCATGCAATGAATTTGACATACCCATACAACTTGAATCATGCCCAATGCCAGTTTCAATCACAGCTTTTGTGACACCATGTAATACCTTCAAAGTTATGGATCAGGTAGGTCACTGGTTTACTGCCATCTTTTGGTGTATAGGTCATCTCTACTTTTCCAGGCCCAGGGACAACAAAATCTGTTGCTCTGTACTATACAAAAGAGAGAAGAGATAAGTGTAATAGTTTCATCCATCACAAAGGTAAACAGCCAGAGAAACAGTGATGTTTGGTCAAACAGCAATTTACAGTCATATGAAAAATGTGGAAATAGATGCACTAGGAGAGCTTTGGTATGGAAAATGCAGAAATGGATATTTCGCATATATAGATGACATTTTAATATGACAAATCTCTAAAAATGTTATAGATTAGTGTTCAGTGGGGGAAGGGAAAGGGATATTCTGGGAAATTCTATTGATTCCATTTCATAATTCGATTAACATACCCATGCACTGAACCACAATATGTTGGCAGTGTCCGTGAATTACACTGCTAGTTTCTAGCCTTTTATTTCTGAGACCTCCATTCCAAACAGGCCCAACGGCACTAACAGTCATTTTCAGGCATCTGTGAATAAGTAAAAACTGCCCATGTATGCAATATACTCCCTACCCCCACCCCCCCCCCTCTCCCTACCCCCCCCCCCCCCCATTACTGTAAAACTAGTTACAGAAAACATGTATCATCATCATCCCAATTGCTCTGGGTAAATGGCATTATGATCTTTTTAGGCTGCTCTCCATTAGAAACTTTGAGCCTTCTTACTATTTCCTTTGCTGACATCAACAATGTTCTGTTCTCAAGCTGTTCAACTTCCCCAAACGCTTACACATTACTGGTTTTCCTTTACCTGTTCCCATCTATTTTTCCTTTCACTTTAATCACTTAATCTGGAAAATTTCCACTTCTTTTGTTTTATCAACCCATGGTCTAACCTACTATAATTTCCACTCCATAATTATACAGTGCTCCTGATTTATTTCTTACATGAAAATAATTCTTTTTTGTGACTTCAAGGCTTAGCAATTTCTGTTCGCTCTTAGGATTTAGCTATTTTATCATTGTAGGTAAAAACATGGCTTACATAACTCTCCTACAACACTGCTCATAGATTTTAAAGCACTTGCAAAGGCCTGCATCACCTTTTGCGTTTTACAAATGGGGACACTGGGCCTGGGGCAGGAGGGGAGCATGTGAAGTCTTCTACTGCCCTGCAAGGGGCTCGGCCCTTAGAGTCAACTGCCAGGTGCTGCTCAGTTGGCGGGTGACTAAGCTCAGAGCTCCCTTTTGGGATGGGGGCAGACTTCACATGCTCCCCCTGCCCCAGGCCATGACTGACCTGGAAGCGGGAGAACACGAAGTCTCCTCCCACTGCCAGGAATGCGAGCACCTAGAAGGAACTGCAGGTGCTCTTCCCCCTTCTGCCTGAGGTCCTACCCTTTCTGGATATTTAGAAATTTCTGAAGTGGTCCCCACTCAAATATTATTGTCCACCCCTGATCTAGATGGTACTTGGTCCAGCTGTGACGGCAGGGGACTGGACGTGATGATCTCTCGAGATCTCTTCCAGTTCTATGATTCTATAAACATGGAGCATGATGAAAGAACATGGATCTGTGTGAAAGCAGTTAAAATATGGCCTTTATGAGGTATCACATGCCTGCTGTTTTGTAAAGTCCTGTTCCCTAGCAGAAGACTGTTCATCTAAATAAACTATAGATAAAAAGAAACACAGAATGACCCTGAAGCAGTTACTCACTTGGTCCCCATAAGCATGACGGCCAATGATGATTGGTTTCACCCATCCCGATACTAGCCGGGGGATGTTTTTGCAGATAATAGCTTCCCTGAAGACTGTGCCACCCAGAATGTTTCGAATTGTCCCATTTGGAGACTTCCACATTTGCTTCAGCTTGAACTCCTCCACTCTCTTTTCATCTGGAGTGATGGTAGCACACTTGATTCCGACATTGTACTTCTTTATCGCTTCTGCTGCTTCTACTGTCACCTTGTCATCAGTCACATCACGGTTTTCCATGCCTAAGTCATAGCTACAAACAATACCCCCAAAAAAAGTCATCAGAGCTGCCTGATGGATCAATCTAAGATACTTCTGGTCCTACATGAAATGGACAACATGCACGCAATTCTAGAATTCTGTCATTACCGGGTATCTATGTCAAGCCCTCCTGTATGCCAGCAGTATTCAGAATAAGAGAAGGTAGATGATAAACCCTGAATAGTTAACTGGTTAAACAAGTTGTTTTACCTGTTAAGCACCAGCTGTGGATGGTGGGGGCTGCCCTGGCCCTGGCTTACCACATCTGTGGAGTCTGTTTTGGCTCTGCCACACCATGGCCAGTGGGATCTGTTCTGACCTGGCCCTGCCACATTCACCATAGCTGTGTCCTGCTGGATGGGCCGCCATGGGGAGGGGCCCTCCAGTTAACCAGTTAGCCATTAAGCATGCCAGTAAGGCATACGCTTACCACTTAGCCTTTAACATCCCTAGTGCAGGGGTAGCACTAGTGTATGTCTGAGGTTATGGAAGAGCTCTGCCAACATCATTTGCTGGAAGGATATGCAGATGCATTGCATCCCTGGCTGCCTTGACTGTGCCCAATGTTCCCTCTAATCCAGTGGTCCCCAACCTTTTTGTGACCAATAGCACATTCATGTTTTCAGAAGAGTGTGGTGGGAGCAAACAATTTTTCAATGCTTATTTCGTATTTGTACTTTAAATAATACAAAAATATCATATTTAATATTACATAATATATGAATCCATAAGATAAAAAAAGGTAATTTTACATGTAAAAAGTATTAATTAAATTATTCGGCTCCCCCTTTGGAGGAAAAAATAGAAAAAAGGCGTCAAATGCGCAAATTGAAAGCTATTTTCATATTAAATGTGAATTGGGTAAATTTGATAGAAACTTAATTTAGTTGGATAATTTTTATTTTAATTATATTGTAATTAATTTTTAAACAAAATTCTGCATTAATAAAAAGGGGGGAGCTATCCAAATGTTGAGCAAAAAAAGCACCCTCCCCCCCCAAAAAAACATGGCACCTTTAAATCTCACACTCTCCTTCCCCACTAGGTATGTCTAGATTACATGCCTCTGCCGACAGAGGCATGTAAAATAGGCTACCCGACATTGTCACTGAAGCTGGGATTTAAATATCCCCGGCTTCATTAAAATAAAAATGGCCACTGCGCTGTGCCGGCCCAGCTGATCATCGGCACAGCGCTCAAGTCAAGACGCGGCTTGGTCGACAAGGGAAACCTTTGTTGACTGCTCCTGTAAACCTTGTTTCACGAGGCATAATGGAGCGGTCAACAAAGGCTTCCCGTGTCGACCGATCCGTGTCTTGACTCGCGTGCTGTGCCAACGATCAGCTGAGCTGGCACAGTGTGGCGGCCATTTTTATTTTAATGAGTCCGGGGACATTTAAATCCTGGCTTCACTGACTATGTCGGGTAGCCTATTTAACATGCCTCTGTCGGCAGAGGCATGTAATCTAGACATACCTAGTGGGGAAGGAGAGTGTGAGATTTAAAGGTGCCATGTTTTTTTGGGGGGGGAGGGTGCTTTTTTTGCTCAACATTTGGATAGCTCCCCCCTTTTTATTAATGCAGAATTTTGTTTAAAAATTAATTACAATATAATTAAAATAAAAATTATCCAACTAAATTAAGTTTCTATCAAATTTACCCAATTCACATTTAATATGAAAATAGCTTTCAATTTGCGCATTTGACGCCTTTTTTCTATTTTTTCCTCCAAAGGGGGAGCCGAATAATTTAATTAATACTTTTTACATGTAAAATTACCTTTTTTTATCTTATGGATTCATATATTATGTAATATTAAATATGATATTTTTGTATTATTTAAAGTACAAATACGAAATAAGCATTGAAAAATTGTTTGCTCCCACCACACTCTTCTGAAAACATGAATGTGCTATTGGTCACAAAAAGGTTGGGGACCACTGGATTAGAGGGAACATTGGGCACAGTGCCCTCTCACATGATTTGCTCCATCCCCACCTTCCTCATGCTCACCCCTTCTTTCAAGCCTTTTCCCAGCACCTTCCCCTCCCCCGTCTAGCCCTTCTCCAATGCCCTTGCCCTCTCCTCTCCCAGCATCACCCTGTCCCCCCTCCTCCCACTGACACCTCCCCTCCTGCCCTTTTCCTCATTGTCTGCACTTCGCCCCCTGGCATTTCTCTCTCTTCCACGCTGTCCCTTGGTGTCTTCCCCTTTCTTCTCCTGCCCTGCCCTCCTCCCCTCAGCACAAGCCCCTTCCTCTCCCACCTCTTCCCCCTATTTTTCCCTTTCTCCGCACCACCCCTCCCCGTGCCACCTTCTTCCTTCCAGTTTGCAGCGCTGGAGTCTGTGATCGGACCCCAGCTGCTTCTGGGGCTCCAGAGCACTTGATGGGCCTGGAGCTGGGTTGCGCGGTGCAACTCTGGGCCGTGTGGTTTTAAAGTCCCTGGTCGTGACATCACACCACGCCTGGGCGTCTCCCCTCTCAGCTGTTGCATGGCGTTTCAGATGCTCCAGGCAGGTCCAGGGGAGAGACCCAGTTCCAAATATTGGTGGAGCCTGCGCGGAGGTGGTGTGCGAGACGATCGGAGGGAACGCATGCCGCCGCGCAACAGCTGAGAGAGGAGATGCCCGGTTCGCAAGACATCCAAGGGAGTGCATGTGCGGCGTGTTCGCCCAAGGGCACTGTGTTGGGGGCTCTTGTGTTAGAATAACTACTAATAGGGATGAAAGTAACTTAAATTTCTTACAGATATTGTTGTGTTGTAACCCCCCTAGTGGGGAGGCTCAGGGCAGGGGGTTGGACTGCATTATTATAGTACCCGTAAGAAATTTAAGTGTGGGATGCATTGCAAAGTACTCAGGGCATGGGGTTGGTGTGAGAGAGCTCGTGCAAATATGTGCTAATATGCAGCACCAATAAAAACAAAAAACCTAGCTCTGGGCACTCTGCTATCAACTGGGCAATACTTGAATCTATCCTGAGCAGCCACATATGCACAGAGAACACTGGCTGTGCCCCATTCTCAGCTAGTTCAACCTGCTTTGTGGTCTCTATCAGCCTATCACCCCAAGTCAAGTGAAGTTGTGAGTATTTTGTACTGTTTCAGCCTTCCCTACTGAAACAATGCAAAATGACTTTGCACTCTGGGGCCCTCTGCCCTGAGTGTGAATCAGCATAAACTTTGAATGAATTAGACATTCTACTGCAAGCTTCTTGCAGACTAATGAAAACTGAGCTTAATCCTGTTCCATCCCAGTAAAGCCATGAGAATAGGTAGGGATGTACAGGGGGCAGTCAGGCCAGGGTCTTAAGGAGAAATTGCTGGAACACTCTACATTTCAGCTAGTTTAGACTAGGGATGTTAAGAAGCATGTAATTCGTTAACCGTATAGTCAACAAAAATGTTATCGACTACACAATTAATCAATAATGATTAATCAATAATTAATCCAGTTAGGGGACTGGACTCGATGACCTCTCGAGGTCCCTTCCAGTCCTAGTATTCTGTGATTCTATGAGTATTCTATGATTAGCATTTCTGACATGCAGTCCCGGCTTGCGCCAGGACCCAGCAACTACCCCACTGTAGCTCAGCACTACAAGCACTTTAAGAGCCGGCAAGCGAACTCATGTCCCGCTGAGCCAGCCTGCCCATGCACTGGCTGTTAAAGTTCTTGTAGAGCAGAGCTGCAGGAGGGGTAGTTGCTGGGTCTCTGTGTGAGCCGGACTGAGCCAGCTTGTCGGCCAGTCTGCTAAAAAATGTACTTGCAGAGCCATGGGGTAAGGGGAAGGTTGTGTATAGTTGATAGGGTTAACTAATAAGCACTTGCTTACAGGTTAATTGTTTAGTCGACTACACTATTACATCCCTAGTTTAGGCTTCATAAAGCATACACTGGAGGCATCACCAGATCCAGAGCAGCCCAGAATTAAGGAGGTCCAAAGGTGATCACCAAACTAAGAATTTAATTTAACTGGTTAACCAGTAAGCATAACCCTAAATGAGTAATGCATACCAATTCTAGTTAACCAGTAGGGGCTGAAGGAGCTCCCCACCCGCCCCGTCCATGGGGGCTGGCACAGCCCCTGCAGGTTACATGCTGGCTCCCCAGGAACCAGCTGCAGAGCTTGCAGAGAAGCCTAATCAGGAGGGGGCCATCAGCTCTTGCTGGCTCTGCTCCCAGAGAGGCTTTGCTGCAGGCTCTGTAGTATAAAGCTTAAAGAAACTTTATACTGAAGAGCCCCATAGTGTGTAATAGGGATGTAACTGATTGACTGATCAGCAAAAGCTTATAGGTTAATGCTAGAGACTACATGCATTTCTCCCTCATCCCCCCCCTTGTTCTGAAATTTGATTTGTCCTTTTTAACGGGTCCAGGACAGGGTTGCAAACTCACAGAAATTTCATTTATGGACAAAATGGGAAAAATGTACAGACAGACAACAAATTTTTACAGACATAATTTTTATACTATATTAAGATGACATAATGACCAAAAGTGAAAAGTAATCGTTGTCATTTATACATCCCAAGAACAATATGCTATTTAACTCACTTTCATTTAGTTAGTCATGGTCCTGGAAATTATGTCACCTCAACCATTAAGCTAAATAAACAACGAAAACATTCAATTTCCGCTACTGTGCAGTAAAATGGCTGAAGCAGCACAGAAGAAATTTAATTGCTATAAAATAATTGCTGTTTTTTGAAATTGTACTGCACTTTTATGGACATCTAAATTTTTGTACAGATATGTCCAATTTCGGCTCATTTTTTACGGATGGTCCATAAATTTACTGATGATTGGCAACCCTGGTCCAGGACCTACCCCCATTGTGGCTCTGCATTTAAAGTGTATTAGGAGCTAGGCAGCCTGGCTGTGTTTCAACTTGCACCAGGTCTAGGAGCTCAGACCTACCCTGGACAAGGACTGCTGCCATCCCACACTGCTGCCTTTGTACCAGAGGCAGCAGCACAGAGCGAAACGCATCTGCGAGGGGTGATGCTTTTTAAACTTGCTCCCCTCGTGGACCAGCTCTTGCCTGTCATCCCACACATCCCAACGTTGAGTGGCAGGGGGCTTCTCGGAAGTGGGGCCAGAGCGCACTGGCTGCTGGCCCCACCCCGAGCACTACAGAATAGTTGAATAACTGATAAGAATTCATGAGGTTAATCGACTATTCAATTACACACTAGGGATGTTAACTATCAGTTAACCACTAGTATCTTTAGCAGTTACAGTTATCTTTTTAAAAAGATTTCTACATCTTTTCTATAATTTTGATTCTTCTGTTGTCCCCTCTAGGAGGCACAGCAGTTAGTCCGTGTACTACTGGGCATACACTACCCCTGGGTGCATCTACACTGCACCGTAACTCGAAATAAGATACACAATTTGAGCTACACAAATTGCATATCTTATTTTAATGCTATTTCAAAATAGTTTCTTTTGTCATTCGAAATAAAATGCTATTCCAAAACGTCCCTCACTTCTCACAGAATAAGATTTACATCGGAATAGTGAGCCTGAAATAACAGGCTTGCTGTGGGGATTATCCTGAAATAGCATTGCAGTGTAGATGTAGCCCCTGAGAGTCTATGGAGAAAGTCAGTGAAAGTGTTTGCAGGAATGAAGCCACAGTGACGACATTTTGGCAAATTGATTTTTCACAAAGTAGATGATTCCTGGTGGTCTTCAGAACAAGTCACTTTGCAAACAAAGCACAGGAGCACTGAGTGCTGAGTTCATGGAAGGCCAGTTCTCTGACACAGATTCAAAAATATAAACCAATGCCCCTGAACAATAAATTAGCCATATATAATATATACTTACCTGTGCAGGTCCAGATCCACATAAGGAAAAACCAGCTTTTCTTTAATTAGTTCCCAAATTACCCGGGTCATTTCATCTCCTTGCATCTCCACAACAGCCCCTCCATGGATTTTTCTGGACATCTTGAACTAAATCAAATATAAAAACAAACTAAGCACTCTCTATATTAAGCAATGCACATTTTTGTAACATGAATAGAAAAATGAAGTTCTAAACCTACAGTGTCTTTTAGCAGTGTCACCAACTCTCATTGTATTGTGAATCTGCTGAAATGTGGTGCTTCTAATTAGGTGAGAAACTCAATCTTCATGTAGGTTTCTAGTCCTTGGATTGTGGGAAGAAGGTTGAAAAAGTGTTCCAAGTGCCTCCCGAAGGCTCTAAATCCCGAAGGGAAACAAAGAGTCCCAGACTTATGAGTTAAAACCACTCATGATTTCTAAGTTAATCTCATGTTTTTAAAGGGACCAGATTCATGATTTCTGAATGCTTAAGACTCATTTATTAGAGGTCATCTGATCACTGGTCTATTTTTCCCTTCCAGGAGGGAAATGTCAGTTTGGTCCTAGGGATGTTAAAATGTGTTTATTTTGATAAATATGTAACCACTGAAGTTTTCACGAGTAAAGTTATGCACTAGCATAAGTGTTTGTAGATTTGGGTCCTTAACACTTAAATACTGATCCTTAGGTTTTGTTTTACATTCAGTTAAAGGGCAACTCTTGCTGGACTGTACATTTTCAGTAGTTACATATTTACATGGAGGGGGAAGGGAGGAGGCAGCTTCACAGGAACCAGCTTTTAAAGTGGCTCCAGTGCACCTGCCTACCCCCATCCCTGCGCTGCTGCCTCTGATACAGAGGCGGGGGGGCGAGGGGGCGCATGTAACTGTGAAGATTACACTATCACATCCCTAATTGGGACCAAAATGCCAAGGATACAACTTTTTCACTTGAACAACTTGCTTTTGGATTAAAGTAAGTACTGGACAGATCAATTTTCCAAAAACAGAATACTGTAATCAAGGGTCATTATTTTTCACCAAAACTCTAGTGGGTCCTATTTGCACTTTGAAGCCTTGTAAAAAAAAATAGTATTCAAACACTTTATGCTCTACTTTCAAATGGCTACAATTGTTTGGTTACACAAGAGCTATGACTTGGCAATTTTTCCTCAAATGTAAACCAGCAACCTAATTCTTGTATAAAGTTCTCATCAGTTATTTTAAGTTTGAAAGTTAGATACAGGAAATTCATGTTTAAGGCCCCAATCCTGTATATACTTATACCCATACACAACTTCATGTACATGATCAATCCCACTGGATTCACCTGAGTGAAATTATTCACTGGCATAAGTGTTTGCAGATTTGGGGCCTTAGCATGATACTGATCCTTAGGTTTTGTTTTACATTCAGTTAAAGGGCAGCTCTTGCTGGACTGTAAAGTACAGAGGTCAGATAACACCATCAAAGGGGACAAAGGGCACTAGGCAAACAAATCAAAGGCAAACATTTTTCAAAAATAACAAAGGAATCCTGTGGCACCTTATAACTAACAGATTTATTAGGGCATAAGTTTCGAAAGCTAAGCTTTTTGTCTCTAAGGTGCCCCAGGACTCCTTGTTGTTTTTGCAGATACAGATGAACATGGCTACCCCCGCCAAGAAATAAAAACTCTGTAGTACAACAATGATGCCAGTATAACTCTGTGAACTGAGACTCTTATTCTTGAAGAAAACTGGCTTTTTGTTGATTCACCAGCTTTAGTTTAAACCCCTTATGCAGTGAAATAACTAACCTCCCCTGAAAAAGAGTCACTCTTATACTAGAAGTGTCCACATGGCATACTATAGCTATACTGACTGAAATTCACACAAATAAAATACAAAGAAAAGCATTTCCACTCAAACTAGGTCTGTATTCATGTAGAAGTGATCTAAGATAAACACTAAGTCTCATTGGGAAGCTTTTATTTGTCATGGAGTAGCTGCAATTTTATATCAATTGGCAAATGATGAATCATCACTTCGTATTTTCCAAAGCAACTCAAAAGGAAGCATTTCAAAGTGCATCTTTTGAAAATCCCAAACACTGTAAACGTCCTACAGGCAGCAGGAAATCAGGAACTCGGTCCTTCCCTATCGGAGAAGCCTGGACACACCCGCACGCTCGGCACAGGGGGATGTCGGACACCCCGCCAGGGAGACACCGCACAGCGTGGTTAGGCGCGGGCGAGACTCCGCACTGACACTGCGCGGGGCCGGGCCCTGGCAGGGGGCGGCCCGCGGCTCCCCGCACGGGGCAGGGCTCGTTCCACGCTCAGCTGAAGGGCAGCTCCTGCTGGGAGATTAGGTCGCGGAGCGGGGGCGAACCGGCCAAAGGCTCGTCGGGCTCGTCCGGCCC